AACTGAAACCGTGTTTCTGGAACCTTGTCGCCTGTGTGCTCACCTGCAGCTTCACACAGCAGCAGGGCTCTTCTCAACCCCAGGGTCTGCCCAGGGACATGAGAAATCACAGCGCTGCCAACTCAGAGCAAAGGCTCCAGGCTCTCGTCTCTGAAGCAAAACCCTTCAAATCTGCACTTAATGCATTTTATACAAAGTCCACCAGCAATCCAAACAGCTCAGTACACCATAAAAACAACCCCTGGCTGCTATTGGTACGTGTACAGCCGGTCATGTGTTCTCAAGAGCAGAAATTCAGGGTCTGGAGCATCGCTTCACCGTGGGTATATCCCAGAAACACACGATCACAGAGATCCTGGCACCACTGCCCGGGGCTCCTCCTGCACCAAAAAGAATTCTGCCACTTCTATAAATTTCCTTCCTATTTACACCCAGCAGCAGCCAGGGCATTAACTCTTGCTTCCTCAAGCCATTGTACTCTTACCTTGATTAAAGTGTTTTAACAGCCATCCCAGGCCAGACTCTAAACCAGATCTCCAGGAACCTTGGCAGATGGGGTCTGAAGGGGAACGCCCGGTACCTGCTGTGAGTCCGACAGCGGCATTCCCTAGAGACAGCTCACCTCCAGCTTTCCAAAATCCCCTAAAACACCCACAGTCCCTGTTATACAGAGAAGGAATGAGAAAGCAAATCCTTTGTTCGATGTCACTATTGCCCAAAATGCAATTTCCACGTGGCCTTGAGGCCTAGAAACAGGTATTTTATGCTCTTCTTAAAAAAAAACAAAAAAACAAAAAACAAAAAACGCTTTCCTTTGCACACTTTTGATATGTCCGTAGTGCATTTTCTCTCTTTCCCATGAACATGTACAGACCCTCAGTAAATACCCCCACACACAGATTCTGGGAAAAGATGGAACTGCAAGGTGCCAAAAACATCCCTCTAAGAAATAACAGCTTTGTTTATAGTATGTTTATTAGAAACGCAACTGTAAAAAGCAGCACAGCTGCCTCTTCAACAGCAAGGTAGCTATGACCAAAGTGCACCTAACATGCTGCTTTTCGTACTGAATTTCCAAGCCATCAAACCCAAGCACTCTGCCAAAACCCGGGCTCAGGATCCTCATTCACAATCCATAAAATATCTGTCAAGGAAAGAGAGTACCAAGACTGCTGAGAGAGGAAGGCACTTACTGCTGGCACCGTAAGTTTTAGGGAGTTATGATTTTCCATAAGACATAACAGAACTTTGGAAATGATTCACCGCCTCTGGGTGTGAATTTATCTGAAGTTGTGACTCTCACGGGTCTGACCAGACATTGCTACACCTTAGTCTCGTTTAAGGGCTTGACAGGTTGTTTTGATTTACACATCGTTTTTACTACTTCGACATGAGGTTCCAAGTTTTACTGGGGTTTTTAAAGTGAGCATACACGCCTCAGGTACTGCACTGCACTACCGCAGAAGCCGAAGCGCTGCACCGCCAGGCCCCGCTCCGGGACTACCCGGCGCAGTTACCAACAGACAGAGTGACCTGAGATCTGCACACAAGCCCCGGCGGAGCGAGCTCGGCCCCAGGACGGGCAGCAGAGCGAGTTACAGTCGGTCACAGACTGCTCCCGGCCGCCCGCCGCGGGTCCCCGCACAGAGCCCGAGGGGATCCCCCGCCCGGAGGAGCCGCTGTCCCGGGACCGAGCGGCCGCACCCGGCCCCGCCGGCCCCTCC